TATTAACATTTCATTTTCTTTAAGAAAACAATGAAATAGATGAACTAGACTTTTGAATATACCTTCTACTTTGGGGCTCAATAAAAGCTATTTTGATTTTAAATGACAAAATGTAGATCATAAACATTTGATTTTTCATGGATTGGCTCTTGTGCAAAAACCTCCAGCTCCCCCACAGAATTATATACAAATAAGCAAATGTTCTAGCAGAACCAAAGGGGCCTCTCTGCCATATATGCCAATTCCCTCATAAACACACTTTCAGCCCTTTCACAAAGAAAAGAAGAAACTTCTTAGGGTTGTGATGACCAATTCAGTTGGATGACAGTGGAAGGATTAGGGGGAAAAGAGATAATGTAGTAACAAGAGAGAAAGGTTTGCTCACACCTCCTCAGGCCCACAGTAATGTTCACTCAGATCACTGTTAAATCCTTTTGACAGAAGATTACGTGTAGGCAGTACATGGCGCACAACAGAGAGCTAAATTCTAAATCAACACATAATGGATCAGGCCAGACGTGTGCAAAGTCATTAGGATCTGAGGCCAGCAAGGCTTAACTGTAACCTGACTGAAGGTATTAAACAAGCTAAAGAAAGAATTTGTCAATCAGAAGGATTATTGGTTAGCAATAGAAGCACAGACAACATGACAAAAAGAGAAATTTTGAGGCTTTTCAAGTATCTTATTTGGACAGAAAGTCCAATATTTTGTTTCCAACAAGGTAACAAAATAAGAAAAAACTGATGTATGAAAATCAGCTATTTCAAAAGGAAAACATAACAACATGTTAACATCTGGTGGTCTAATACAGACAGTTAATTTGGAGGCATAACTAGACTTTGCTATGGTCTAAATGTAATTTCAGAGTGCAAGCTGTATCACCAACTTGTATGGTTCCCATTGTGTGGTTAGCTTGACTATGGGACTTTTTTAGGTTACTGACCCCTTTGCTAGACCCTGACCCTTATGTGTTCCTGACTCATGTACCCTAATACCCTCTAGTTCTAGGCCCCCTTAGGCCTCTATGTCCTACTTCCTTTCTTTATTCTCTACCTCCTTTGTGTCTCATTGACATGAAGTTTTTCTCCCAGTCTGTTACGTTTTCCTCTTAATAAATTAAAATGTTCAGTTTGCTTTTTGCTGTTTCTACCAATTCCCATGATAAGATACTTTTTATAATACCTCCTAGCATGTGTCAATTGATCACAATACAACCTTTGGTTTTCCAGTAGCGCTTCATAAAGGGAATGAGAAACCACTCTCATGCCTCCTGTTTCCCAAACCTGTCCCCAAATCTCCAGCTTAGAGTTCTTGGGTTCTATAAGGACTAGGGATGAGAGGAATGATTATCCTTTCTTCATGAACTCTTTTGTTGGCAGTTTTGGCATCTGTGTTCATTGTAGTTTTCTTCTTTTTAAAAAATATTTTATTTATTTGACAGAGAGAGAGAGAGCAAGAGAGCACTAACAGGGGGAGCAGGAGCAGGAGAAGCAGGCTCTCTGCCAAGCAGAGAGCCCGACTCGGGGCTCGATCCCAGGACTCTGGGATCATGACCTGAGCCGAAGGCAGACGCTTAACTGACTGAGCCACCCAGGTGCCCCTCATTGTAGTTTTGTTTATTCCATCTTTGTCTGGTTTTGGTATCAAGGTGACCTTTCTGTAGGTCATCACTGCCTGTCCCACTTGGGGCTACTTCCCCAACTTTCTGCTGTCCACATGTTCCTGGGCTAGACCAAGAGAATTCTTAGTAAGGCCTCCTCCAGTAGAGGTTGCTGAATGCGTCCATAGGAATAAGCACCTAGGTAGGGTGGTTCTCAGGAGCCTTCTACCAAAGCCTTCAGTGTGAATTTAATGGGTTTTTGTGGGGCAGGGTTAGGAGTAAGGATGGGGAGGAGCTAATCTACACCCTTTCTGCCCAAGCTATTCCCAGCACAGGTTTCTTTGCTAGCTCAGCACCAGGCACCTCTGTGAGTCAGCCACTCTCAGAACTTACAGCAAGATGCTGGGCCTCTCCCAAAATTCAGGTCACACCTTTTAACCATATGGGTGATTCTCTTGTGTTTCCTCCTCTCACTGGCTTTAGGGGAGAGGGACTGCTTAAAAGCTGAAGGATAGAGGAATGAGGGGAGGATACTTGTTCTCTTACAAATGTTGCTTTCCTCCAGAGGGCTCTAGCCCTCTTAACATAGTCAATGGGGCTAAGTGTTGATAGAAGGTTTTCTGTAATGTGTCCTCTTATTAAATCCCTTGGGAGTGATGGGCTCTATATGGCCATTTCTTTGAACTTAAAATGGAACAGAGTTGGGGCGCCTGGCTGGCTCAGTCAGTTAAGCATCCAACTCTTGGTTTCAGCTCAGGTCATGATCTCCAGGTTCTGGGATTGGCCCCACACTGGGCTCTGTGCTCAGTGTGGAGTCTGCTTGGGATCCCTCTGCCCCTCCCCCTGCTCCCTCTCTCTCTCAAATGAATAAATAAATCTTTTTAAAAAAATGTAACAGAGTCCACAGAAATCCTGGTGCCTTCCTAAGAGTACTTACGTGGGGAGGAGGGCAAGGGCATTCTTTTATAATGCCAGGTGTGTTAGTCTCTTTAGGCTGCTATAACAAAAATACCATAAAGGGGTGACTTTATAAACAACACAAATTTATTTTGTACAGTTCTAGAGACCAGGAAGTGCAAGATCAAGGTGCAAACAGATGCAGTATCTGGCTAGGACCTGTTTCCTGGTTCATTAGTACTGTCTTTTCACCGTAACTTGATACGGTGGAAGGGACAAGGGAGCTCTCTGGGGTCTTTTTCCATAAAGGCACTAACCATTCACGAGGGCTCCACCCTCATGACCTAAGTGCCTCCTAAAGGCCCTACCAACAAATACCATCACCTGGGCTTCAGGATTTAACATATGAATTTGTGTGTGTGTGTGTGTGTGTGTGTGTGTGTGTGTGTGTGTGTCACAAACCTTCAGTCTATAGCACTCGGGGAACAGGAAAGGATTATCTGTTGGTTTTCTACACCCTCATGGAACATATTAGAATGCACACACAAAAATCCTTGAAGCTCTTAAAGCCAAGCATCTTGGCGTGAGGAGAACTGTGTTAATTTATTAGGATCTTTTCAGTTTCTAAATTATTCATGCTTGGAAGTTTTAAAAGTGAGCAATCTTTCTTTTATAATTACAAACAACCAATAAAGATTATTATTTTTAAAGAGTTCTAGTCTATAATTGGAGGCTTCTTAGATTTAAGAACATCATCCAGGAGAATGTGTTTCATCCTTGCTGGCTTGGTCTGCACGTGAAACGAATAGTACATCCCGACTAAGCTGAAGAGTGGAGAGACATGCGCATCTCTCTCTACCTGTCCAGATGCCTCACATTCTTTCTTTTCTCTCCCAATTTTCCTGATTCAAACTATTCCTATTCTTGTAACTAGTCACACTTACCAGCAACACAGGTTTGTAAGGTTTTTGTAAGCAATTGACCAACAGGACCCCAACACTTAGGCATTAAGAGTCAGCAAAAGAGCTAAAGCAGTTTATTAAACAGGCTTAATTCAATGGACAGTATATCAGATATTAAAAAGGTTCAGTTTGGTCTTGCTAAAAACTCCAATCACATAAAATTTAAAGTGGTGGGGAAGATTATAGTCTTTAATTCTTTGTCTCCTCCCTAGCCATAAATTGCCCTTCATATGCAGAACTATAAAGGGCTGCAAAAGGAATTTGTTCTACAATTCTTGAACCCCTCAGCCAAATAAAATGTCGGTAAATAGATAGGAGTGGGGAGAAGAAAAATTGAAGAGATTTCTTTCCTTCATTTTTTTTTTTTTTTTTGAAGAGATTTCTTTCATGAGAATTGCTCCTGGTTTGTGGATTTCCACCTTTAACCCCAAGAGACACTGTGTGTTTGGGGGTGGGGAAACATAGGGCTCTGATGTTCCCATCTAACCCTTAGACTAGTAAGGGAGGCCTCAAGGGAGCCACTTAGAGAATTTGAAATATGTTTCCGGCAATTAAGAGATACAGAGGTATGGTACCCAACTCAGGCCTGGGAAAACTACAGTGAACTGTGGAGTGCAGGCTGACTCCTTCTGGGATATCCAAGAAGGGCTGATTGCTTTGACGGTAGAAGTAGGAGACTACAGCTACACTGAGATTGGTCTGTGCATCCAAAGGTTGTTATGCAAGTTATGCACAATCATTTCCTATAGAGGGGATTAGGGCCATGGGGAAAAGGGAGAAAATTGGCCTGGGGTTGTCTTAGACCTTTCCTTCTAGCCAAGGGAGCCCCCAGGAGAGGATTAGGAGACTAGGAGGAAGAGGCAGATTACCACCACAGGGTTGCCTGGCTGGCTCAGTTGGTAAGCGTGCTACTCTTGACCTGTGAGCCCCACACTGGGTGCAGAGATTACTTAAAATAAAATCTTATAACAAACAAGTACCACAGCCCGCAATTTCACAATGAATATGTTCACAAAGTCATTACTGAAATTCACAGGTATGTATAGAGCTAAATAGAAAGTCTACAACATCATGTGATAAAGCAATGTCCAGCAAAACAGTTACCCAGGCTGGGCCCCGATGCCAGCAAATTTAGAAAGTCATTTGGCCATTAGGCCAACTTTTTCTTCAGACAGCCATTCCTGCAACCTAGTGAGCTCTACTAACTACAAGGCCCATTCTGTCTTGGACATGAGGGCCAAGCTTTCTTCCCAGGAGGAAGTCGAAACTCCTTAACGCTGAATTGAATTTCTAGAAAAACGCAATCCAGGCCCTTGCGCAGTCCCCTCGCTTTTCCTGTCCATCAGCTGAGTCCGATTCAATTATTCCAACAAGGTTGCTGGGCAGTAAAACAACACCCTCACGTAGAGCCTTCGCATCACCTCAGGAGCGGGCAGCGCGGTGACGTCACGGCGTCCCGGGCGCGCCCCGCCCCCGCTCGGCTCAACGCCAGGGGACGCTCGAGGGCTGGGTCTCCTTGACAACTACTTGCTCCGCCCCCTCCGCCCCTTTAACCTTTAGGGTGCACGGGCGCTGTGTCCTTCGCACTCTTTCCCCTTTCCCCCTCCCCTTTCCCCACCCCCTTTCCCCAAGGAGTCCGGGCCGGAAGTGAAGATGGCGGCGGCAGGGCCTGCTGGCGCGGCTTCGGCGGAGCTGGTGATCGGCTGGTGCATATTCGGCCTCTTACTACTGGTAGGGGAGGTGCTCGTAGTTTTCCCAGTGTTTGGTGGGAGAGAGGGAGGGGCCGGCCTCGTAGCTGGCCTTTCTGGGCCCGGGAGACCCTCCTCATTCCGCCCCGCCCCCCTTTTAATTTGGACTGTCGGGGGGCTCCTTTGCTCCGGGGCGGAGCTGCGTTCCGTGTGGGTAAAGGAGGCACGGATTTCCGGCCGCCTTTGCTGTCCTTTGCCTGATGACGTTTAATATTGCAGGTTCCCATTCTCGGAACTCTTGGCCTTATCCCTGACTAGGGCACTGGGACGGGTGGAGTTTGGGGACGGAGGAGACCCAGGGGGTTGAGAAGGGAGAAGTGGCCTCTGGTCCCCATGTGAGACGTGAGCACAAGGTGTGGGGCAGCGGCGCCTGATCTTTGCAAGTTCAGTAGCCGCTGGCCTTGATCCGGAAGGGGGCCTCTTTGCTTCTTTAACTGTGGTTTGTCCGTTTTCACTACCCTTGGGGTTATTGAGTCAGCAGCCTTCTCTACCCATTGTGCGATTCTGCCTTGATGACGTGAGGTGTTCGTTCTGACTTCCAGGTTTCACATTCCTTTCCAGTCTTTTTTGATGGATGTAGAAACTTGGGCAGGGAAGAGCTGTAGCCCTCTTTACTGCCAGTATCAGGGTGTATATACTACAGCCTATCCGAACTGAGGTGCTTTCTTTCCGTACCATCTTATTCCCGTTTATCCAGTGATCAAAACGTGGGCCTCAGTAGCCCAAAGGGCCTAGTTTTTTACCTCCTTGCCTCATATTAAAACCCTTGGGCTTATTTTATTTGGGGGTTCAATTTACTTCTCTCCATACCCCTCCCCATTCTCACTCTCTTTCCTCATTGTCTTTATCCTCCTGTTGTAGCATTGTGTCCCAAAGTATTTTGCTGCTGTGCATTACTAAAACAAAAAACAAAATCAACCCCCAAACCCACTAACTTCAGTTTTGGAAATCAAGACTTGTATTTGTTAGATTCCACTACAGTGTCTGCAACCTAGGTAGAAAGTAGTATGTTTTGCTGGTAAATGTTTCAGCAGAAACTTTACAAAAAAAAAGTGTGAAAACTTCTGGAAAGTTACCTCTTGCTACCTTCACTCTCCCAGAAAATAATAATGCCTTTACACTGCAGCATACTTTACTCCTCTTGGTGGAGAAAATGGAAACAGTAAAGGGTGGCGCTGTTCCTCAAAGATCATCCAGTGTGGTACTTTAGGAGTTCACTAGCTTTTCCAGACCATCATATTCAGTTGGTTTAGGAAAAAACAAACGAGCATGTAACCAGTATCGAAGTCTAGTGAGAATATCTTGGCAGTTATGAATTAATAAACATTTAATGTATGTGAGTTGTGCTATAAATTGTGGGAGGATGGAAACAAAACAAAATGGCCTTTAAGAGATCCTGAAGATAATGGGAAAACAAAAACTTTTTTTTTTTAAGATTTATTTTTTTATTTGGTTGGTTGGGGGGAAGCGCAGAGGGAGAGGGAGAGAGAAACTTTAAGCAGACTTCCCGCTGAGTGTGGGAGTGTGGATCCCTGTGCCCAGCTAGATCCCATGACCCTGAAATCACGATCATAGCTGAAACCAAGAGTGGGACGCTTAACTGACTGTGCCACCTAGGTGCCCCAAGAACAGAAATTCTTAAAACAGGTTTAAGTACTGAAAACCAAAGTATGATTTTATAAACGAAATAGGACTTCCGAGAATAGAGAGCAATATTGGAAGAAAGTGGAATTGAGGTGGACTTTGGATAGATGAAGAAGGGAAGGTACTGAAGTTGATGATAGTACAGAAAGAAAAAGTAAAAATGAGAAGGGAATTAAGGAGTTTGAAACTAGATGTTGGAGTAGAAAAAATTAGTAATAAGGGCTATTTTCTGCAAATTTCTTTAATTCTTGGTTTATTAGAAGAGAGCTAGATTCTCATGTCTGCTTGTGTATTCAGTTTTTTGAGTGTTGTTTTGGTTGAAGTATATGAGAAATATCCTATTTTAGTGGTATATCCTTGGAAGCAGAGGAGTATTTTTTAGATAATTGTGGATGTTCTTAAATACTACGCCAAAACTCAGTAATTGGAAGCTTTCTAAAGGTTAGTTGAACCAATGGAATCTGAAACCCTATCATTAAACTTTTCATTCTGTTACATTAAAATTTGTTGGTCCATGTCGCACTCTGGATCTTTTGCCTGTGCATGGTTTTATAACATGAAGCATTGATTATTTAGAAAATCTGGTTCACTGAGTTATGCAGATATTCCAAATATGGATATATTTCATTACATAATAATAAAATATCCCATTCATTAACTTCACCACTGATCTTGTCAGAAGAAATGCCCCAGAAAAAAGTATTGAGAAACTGTCAAGCTTGCAGTCATGGATACAAGTTTTCCAAAATTCTAAGTTTCATTGAAAGTTTGAATTTTATCGTTGGGAACGGATACTGTCTGTTGTTTTTTTCTTGAAGTGATAGGTTCCCTTTGTTCATTTCAACAAAATATACCAGATATCCAAGTCTGAATAACCATAGTTAATCACTTGTACTTAAAAGTGATACTCCTTGAAAAGAGTGTCTGATGTGGCTTTCAGCTCTTAAGTTACTGGCAGTGCTTTTCCTGGGGACAGCCATAACACCTTGATGTGCAGCAGGATAGCTCCAATGCATACTTCACCGTTTTCCGCATGGAGTATTGAAAAGATTCAAGGGTTGAAGTTCAATAAAGTTAATTTTTAGTACTTCATTAGGCAAGGTCTTAAATTGTCCTCTGTGTGTGTGTGTGTGTGTGTGTGTGGCGGTGAAGAATACAATAACTACTGGCACAATTTGGTGCCATTGTCTTGATTCATGCTTAATTTGTCAGCAGTTTTACCACTGACTTATGCAGCATGAGTTCAGGTATCAACATAGTGAAAAAGGCAAATGACTTTTTAGTATTATGAGCATCGTTTTCAATTTGTAAATCCCCAGAAAGGATTCTGGGACTGCTGGGGGTTGGAGGACTTCACACTTTGAGAACTGTTGCCAATAATCTACTAAAGAATCAGAACACTAAGATTGACTACTTGAGTGATCCTGGGCAAACAGGGTGGACTTCAGTGTCTTCTGCCACATGAGTTAGGTTTGGTCCTCCAATCCTATAATCTAACTTTGTTTCTTTTACGAAATCTAAGCGTTTCTTCTTAAGTCCCCCAAGATCCTCAATTACATTTCCCTTTGCTATATAAGACAGAGTCTTCATTTCTGTAAAGCAAGTTTATTCTTCTTACTGAAAGTGATGATTACTTGGAAACTTGTTAGAAATACTAAATGTAAGACCCCAGCTCTACTGAATCAGAATCTGCAGTTTAACAAGATCCCAGGCAGTGTATGTGCTCATTAGTTTAAGAAACATTCATCTCTTCTCATTCCTACCTCTGCCCCAGTCGTCAACCTTGACTGCTCATCAAAACCAACTAGGGAGTTTTTAAAAATCCTAATGCCCAGACCAATTAAATTAGAATCTTGTGGGAGGGGCTGGGGGTTGCTCTAAACCTTTATGATTGTTAGCAAAATCATATATTTCTTTTATGAAAGGCTCTTAAGATATTTCATATGACATTTGGTTTCATATGATTTATTGACATATGACAATTCATATGACAGTTGCTATTGGCCAGGCACTGTGCTATAAACTCTTTACATCTTATTTTATTCTTATAACGTGCTATGAAGTATTCTTACTACTATTTTATAGATGATGACATTTGGTTTATAATATAGTAACTACTGATAAATTTAACCCACATAAACAAAAAGCTCTTCGGCGTTCTCAGTTTTAAAAGTATAAAGGGATCCTGAGACCAAAAAGTTCAGGATCCTTTGGCTTAACTATTTTGGCTGGGTTGCCCTTTCCCTGCTTGTCTGCCTGGTGTTGGCAAATGGCTTCCTCTGCCATAATACCCATCACTTTGAACTTGGGAAAAGTGCAGATTTTTTTGAAATCCATCAAAAAAATTATTGAATACTTTGTCAGGTCCTGCTAAAGATAGAATGATTAAGCTCAGCTTCCAGTGGCTTCAAAATAATTTGAAGAATGTTTTAAATATTTGTGAATTCATTTAAAAACATCCATTAAAATATTAATATACATTTATGAGAAAATAACTTCCCCAAACAAAAATAAATTAGTAAGTAGCCAGGATTTGAATCTGGGTCTTTTTTTTCCTCCAACATCCACGTTCCAAAGTCTACATTCTGTTCTCACTTTATTTTTCCTGCTGTTCTGACACCAGCTGAAATGTTAGTAATATGAAGGAATTACATGAAACAACTTAGATAGATTTAAAATGCATTATCCTAAGTGAAAGTAGCCAGACTCAGAAGATGATATGCTATATAAGTACATTATTACATTATGGAAAAGGCAGAAGCTATAGGGACAGATAATAGTGGTTGTCAAGGGTGGAGAGTAGAGAGAGAGGGGTTGACTACACAGGGCAAAGGTGATTTTTCTGTGGTGGCAGAACTGTTCTTATATCTTGATTGTGTAGGGGAATTTGGAAGCTGTGAAACAAATTAGGTGGTGCTGTTAGTTCAGTTCAGCCTCCTGAACTAGGATACTTAAAGGAAGTAACAGTTGAATCTGTTGAAAGAGTGAAAGGACAAAACAACGCTTTTGTTTCAGAGCTCTTAATAGAGTTTATTTAAAACAGTGGTTCTCTCTTACAGCTAAGTAATATTCCATTGTCATTTGCCACAACATGGGTAAACCTAGAGAGTGAAATAAGTCAGAGACAGAAAGACAGATACCATATGAGTTCACTTACATGTGGGATATAAAAAGCAAAACAAAAAACCAGAAACAGACCCGTAAATACAGAGAACAAACTGTTGGCTGCCGGAAGGGAGGAGATGAGCAAAATGGGTGAAGGGGAGTGGGAGGTATAGGCTTCCTATGGAAGTCAGTGATACTATAGTGTTGTGTGGTGACAGATGGTGGCTACACTTGTGAGCATGGCATAGGGAGTAGAGTTGTGGAATCACTGTGTTGTACACTTGAAACTAATGTGACATTGTGTGTCAACTATACTTCAATAAAATGGGAAACAAAAACAGTGGTTCTCAAGTTTGGCTCGGGTTGGAATCCTCAGGCTTTTTTATCTTTATTTTTTTTAAGATTTTTATTTATTTGGGAGAGAGAGAGAACAGGAGCGGGGGTGGTGTGGGGGGTGGGGACAGAGGGAGAAGCGGACTCCCTGTTGAGCAGGGAGCCCAGCACGGGGCTTGATCCCAGAAACCACCCTCCCCATCATGACCTGAGCCTAAGGCAGTTGCTTAACTGACTGAGCCACCCAGGTGCCCCTCCTCAGGCTTTTTTAAAGTGCTGTTGCCTGGAGGAGCGTCGCTCTGATTGAATTAATTTGTGGGGAAGGCATAAGGGTATTTATTTATTTATTTTTTAAAGAGATTTTATTTTTATTTATTTGACAGAGAGAGACAGCCAGAGAGGGAACACAAGCAGGGGGAGCAGGAGAGGGAGAAGCAGGCTTCCCGCAGACCCGGGAGCCTGATGCGGGGCTTGATCCCAGAACCCTGGGATCATGACCTGAGCCAAAGGCAGACACTTAATGACTGAGCCACCCAGGCACCCCGGCACAAGGGTATTTAAAACTGTCCAAGTGATTCTAACACAGCCTAGGCTGAGAATCACTGATTTAGTACCTGTCTGCAGTTCCCTAAATTTGAGTAGAGCAGAGCTTCTTAAAATGTAGTTCCTGAACCAGTAGCAGCCTCACCTGGGAACTTGTTACAAATAACAGATTTTTCTGGGCCTGCTCCAGACCCCTGAATCAGAAACCGGGGGTGGGGCCCAGCATTCTCTACTATAAGAAGCCCTCCAGATGTTTCTGATACTCCCTAAAGTCAGAGAATCTTGAGTAAAGTCCTATAGTCTGTGTTAGTCATTAGAAAGGCATTGGTAACTATTAAGAGTACCTGGTGGATTAGAGATGTCATCCTCAGTACCTCTGAGTGTACTTTTATCACTGGAAAGTTCCTTTGCAGTGCACGTGTACTCATTTTAAATGTTCACTTTTCTTTAAGGCCCTTTAAAATTTGAATTATAGTATAATTTGTCAGTACATGGTGATTATTGGCAGATAATCTTTAGCTGAATGGTATTCTTGAACTGTAATAATGGGGCAGAAGTTAATTTCACTTCAAGTTATATTCTATTTAGGTTGGAAAAATCTATAGGTAAAAAGCATTCAAAACTAATTACAACTATGACGTTGTGTGAAACCATTAATGAGGTTCAGTGAGGATATATGTAATTGAGCACTGGTATCAATAACTTTTGTGTGTGAATGTGTCTTTGCACCTAAGGGAGGTTGTACTGCATTCATGAAATAGGCTTTGAAGATTATAAATCTTGAACAAGTTTATAAGAGGTAGTGGACCTTCCTTATACATCTAAAAGAACCTTCATTTGACAGTTTCCCATTGGAAACTTTCAAACACATACTATCATCTGTGTTAGAGAATGCATAGGGCAGTAACAGAACATTTCTTTTTGTTCTCTTTCAGGCTATTTTGGCATTCTGTTGGATATATGTTCGTAAATACCAAAGTCAGCGGGAAAGTGAAGTTGTCTCCACCATAACAGCAATTTTTTCTCTGGCGATTGCACTTATCACATCAGCACTTCTACCAGTGGATATATTTTTGGTTTCTTACATGAAAAATCAAAATGGTACATTTAAGGTAATTACTATCATACTATGTGATTTTTTCTCCCCTTTCAAGTTCTTGGCAATTAAGTGTTTAAGTTTAGCAGTCCAGTATATATTGTGCTTTTTTTGTTGTCTCCAGGGAATAAATATGAGTGAAAATGCAGCATAGAGACTGAGAATGGGACAACCACCATGGAAAACTAGAAACAGACTCTTAACTGACTAAAGAACTATTAATTCACCAACCCTCCAAATGTGAAGAATCCCTTTTGTTGATCCGAAAATATATTACATAATCACAATAGTTTATTTTTGTGTCTCTCATAGCTCCCTTGAAGTTTGAGTTGATTTACATTAATGCAGTAAATAAGTAATTTAGCAGGGCTTTTGTTAGTGGTGGATCAAAATCTAAATCTGTTTCACATTGAGTACTTTGAGTCAGTATGGCATGTGGAAAAGACCACTAAGCTAGCTGGGAGTTACAAGACCTGACTTCTAGTCTTGACTCTTTACTATCTAGGCTGTTTCTTTGGCCAACTTAGTTAAGTTTTCTGGACTTCAGGTTCTTCATTTTTAAAATGAGGGGTGTTGGACTGGAGGGTTTCTGAGTTATCTTTCAATTAACATATGTTTAAGTTTCTTAATAGTTAAGCTTCTTGAGGCAGGAACTGTGTCTTGTTTATTTTTGTATCCCAAGTGTTTAGCACAGAGTAGATACTTCAGCATTTGAATGAAATATTATTACAGTTAACTCAGTATTGCATGCTTCCAAAATAAGTTTCTGAATTGAGCCAACTGGACTTAAATAATGTGAAAACATTTTTGTAGTTAGGTTTAGATACATTATGATTGCTATGAAAACTAATTATTTACTGTAGGTCACTTACTCACATATTTATTTATTTTTAAAAGATTTTATTTATTTGGGAGAGAGCGAATGCATACCTCCCCTTCCTGGGAGCATGAATGGTTGGAGGGGCAGAGGGAGAGGGGAAGGACAAGCTGACTCCCCACTGAGCACGCAGCCTGAGATGCAGGGCTCAGTCCCAGGATCCTGAGATCATGACCTGAGCCTAAGTCAGATGGTTAACCAACTGAGCCACCCAGGCACCCTGGTCACTCACTTATTTAGCAAGTATTAATTGAGCACTTAGCATGTGCCAAGTGCTGTATGAAGATAGTAATTAACATCTGTTGAATATTTACTGTGTCAGATCCTGTTCTCATGATTAATATATATTAACACTGTTTAACCTCCCAAACAACCCTGTGAGGTATAGTATTATCCATGATTTTATGGGCAGGAAACCAAAGTCTGGAGAGGTGAAGTAACCTATTTAAGGTCATACAACTTGTAGGTGCTATAGCCGAGATTTGAAACTCTGCATTCTGGCTTCAGAACTCTTTGTTCACTAGATTATATATATTTATATATATATCTGTGTGTATATATATATATATATATATTTTCCTAGTGAGTACTATAAAGTTGACACTAACATAAACACTTTTTATTTTATACCAATGTATAAAATTTTTTTTTTAAAAATTAGTAATTAAGATATGGCATTGGAACATTTTGTGTTTTGGCTGCTAAAATGTTCATATCTTACTCCCCTCCTCCAGTGATTAATCTCTCTTAGATGTCTGGGTTTAACTCTCCAGTACTGCCTCATTTGTACTCTCAGATTTTGTTTTAGAACTTTGTATTCTTCACTGTACCTTAAATACATTTATTTGCTTAATATTTATTAAGCATGTAGTATGTACCTGACACACATGGGTGCTGGAGATTAATAAATGAGGCTGCTGTTTTCATGGAGCTTACATTCGCTAAGATCAGGCCAACAGTAAACAAAACAAGCTGACTTCACAGCATTACATTCTATGAGGAAATATAACAGATTGCTATGAAAGTCTAAGTTGTGGGTAATTCACATAGGGGCATGGGAAGGCCCAATTGCTGAAACAGGTTACTTGAGCTGAGACCTGGATGAGGAAGAGCCAGTCAGGTGAAGATCCAGAGGTGAAAGCCTTTAGGGAGAGGGAACAGCAAATACAGAAGCTTTTAGATAGAGATGAGTTTGGCCTATTTGGCTGAAGTGTGGTGTTGGGGGTTGCACTTTGGTACTAGCTGAGATCAAGAGGAAGACGGGAGCCAAATTGTTTATGACTTTTAAGTCATGTTAAAAGAGCTGTATTTTGGACAAATTACCTTCAGGGTGCCTATCCTAAATATTCAAGTGGAGGTGTCAAGTAGGGAGTTGGAAGTGTTGTTAAGAGGTGTAGTGAGAGGGGTAGAGAAGTGGCTGCTGGCTTTGGTCAGTGGTGACCAAAGAGCAAGAAGATAGTTTCAGTGGAGCATTTGGGTGCTCAGATTGGAGCGGGTTAACTGGACAGGGAGGTGAGGAAGCAGTGATAGGGAATGCTGAAAACTTTTCAAGAGCTTTTGTTTTCTAAGGGAGTAAGAAGTGGGGTCAAGGGAGGTGTTTTTATTTGAGGTGGTTGTGTGTATATCTCTGTGCTTATTGGAAGTTACTAGGGTTTGTATACTTTAGGATTCAGTGGGGTAGGAGGATTTTTAGAGGGAAGAGAAGATACTATTGCAGGTACAGTGTCTTTGAGAAAGCAAAAGGGTTGGGATTCTTAATGTGAAAGGATTGGCCATAAATAGGAGTACAGGTACTTGGCAGAAGGAAGGACTAACATTTGAATACAGATGGAGGTCGGTTTTAGATTTGGTAGTAAGTTGAGTGAGTTCCTGTCTTTTGGTTCCAAATTATTTTAGGGACCTCAAAGTCAGTGTTTCTTAGACATTGACATTTTGTTCCGATTAATCTTTGTTGTGGGTGAGGTCCTGTGCATCATAGACAGCAGATCTTTGCTTCTACCCACAAGATGCTGCTAGTACACCAACACTCTCCTGACCTCCTGGGGCTCCATTGCCAAATTCCCATGGGGGACAAAGTCACCCCTGAGTGAAAGCCACTGGTCTAAGGTGAGAATTTCAGGTAAAATGGAGGAGAGTTGTATACTTTGGGGTTGGGCTGAGCATTTCTAAATGTCATTTTGAAGAATAGGAAAGGAAATTTTATGTATATGACCCACTCCATCTCTGCTCTGTGGAATTTATATTCTTTTTCTTTCATCTGAAATGCTCTTTAATATTCTCTAGTATTCTTTTTCTTCCAACCTTTTGGGTCTTAAATAACTAGTTTCTTTTGGTCTCTGCTTTGGGAGGCCATGGTCTATAAAATGTATCAAGGGTAGAGTGGTTTTCAAAATGTAAATGGAGGAAGGTTTCCTAAACTAAGCTCTTTTGACAGTATGTACCTTGGAGGCAAGACAGGGTATAAGAGCCAAATGCACTAATAGTATTTGAATGATGTTGTATATTTTATGCTTATTTATAGGCTTAAAATGGTGATGTTAATATTTTCTTATTGCCATAAGATTTGGTTAAAAGAACCTTGCAGGGTAAAAGATTCTAAGTGTCAATGAATCTTTGGCTTTAAATTACCTACATTCTTTCTTCTTTTAACTTTTTTCTGAGTTTGGGGTCTTGTTTAATTTTAAAGTTTAACTTGTAAGTAATTCTCAATGGGTACATTAATACCTTATGGGATTATTTTGGAAATTGGAAGGGAGCTTGTGCAGGGATAGGTGAATTTTCCTCCGTTTCAAAAAATCTTCAAGATTCAAAAATCTTTTTAAAATTCCATTTTGTTCATAAACAGTAACTAAAGAAACTGTTAGGAACTCAAGTTTTGATTATGTACATATCCATTTGGATACTTGAATCATTGATGAAAAAATGTCCAGTTATTGCACAGAAATATCCCCAGTGCTTTGCCATGCCCATGTGGTAAAAGAGTTCCATTTTTTTTTTTTGTATATGTATGGGTGTTTTATTTTTTAGACAAAGATTGCATGTGTTAAAACTACTAGTTGTAATTTGTTCTGTGGCTCCCCCCCCCCACTCAAAAGTACTTCATGGATATCTATATATACCTGTTTATACAGATTTCATTGTTTTTAATGTCTATATAGTTTCTCCTTAGGCATATAGATTGTTTCTAGTTATTGATTTTTTAAATTTTTTTAAACAACACTGCACCGAATATTGTTGAGTAAGGAGCAAAGGGAACAATAAACATTATTTGGTGTAGGCTGGAATTTATGGGGGTAAGGATCAGCAAGTGCATAGGTTCTTAAATCCTTGACATTCTTGCAATAAAGTGAGCGTTCCCAAAGTGCAGGTGCTTCACCAGAGGTACCTCTACCTTCTTTTGTTCTCCCTTCTTGTAAGGCAAAGAGAATGGCCTTGCAGATAGGTAAACACGATGGACTTGGGTGCCAGGTAGTGTGAACTTAGATACGAGGTGTTCATGAGGTGCTTGGACATTCCAGTTGCTGAACACCTAGAGACTTTGGGCCCCTTTAGTCCTGTGAGTAATAGAGATGGGGTGTAACTCCTCCTATTGTATGGGAAGGGGAGGCCCCATTTTGGTAGCTTGCTGTCATGCAACCCAGTAAGAGCTCTTGAGGTCATTCATTAGACAGTACTACTTTGTCTTTAAAACTTATCTGTATATTGATATCTGTCCTGATTTGTGTGAATATTTTTAGGAATAGATTCCAACAAAGAATGTCTAGATCATAGACGATTTTCCTTACTATTACTATGTAGGTGATGACTTTTCCTCTACATTTGCCACTAATGTTTTAAATTTTGCCACTTAGGTAAATGAAAGGTTACTATAATAGATTTTCATGTTTTATTAAGCAAATCTAGTAATTGGGTAAATTTCTCATTGTTGGTCATCTTGAAAAAATTTCCTAGCTCTTGCCTATATGTTTTTCAGATGATTTTTGTAATCAGCATGTCAAAATACTCTACCTCTTAGTATATTGGGATTTGGATTGACAGTATATATAGTTTTTATAAAGTAATTTGGAGGGATTTGGTATTTATAATCTTTTCATGTGGGAACATGTGACTTTCCATTTATTTAGATTTTTTAATATTCTATAATTAAGTTTTCTTTATATAGTTAACATAACATTTTTATTTAGCCTATTAAGTTTTTTATAGTCTTTATTGCTGTTGGAAAAATACTATTTTTATTGTACTTTGTGTGTCAAGATTTTGCTTTTGTAGTGCTAAATTTGGATTTTCCACATTTTTGTTCTTTTAGAAATTTGTCGGTAAGAAATTCATAGATGTTCCTTGCTAGAGGTGTTTGTAGGTGAAAAAAAAAAGAAAAACCCAATTATTTGAGGAGATTTAAATGTTGGTATCCTTCCTTAAATGCCAGTGTAGTGGGATGTTGATACTGACTTGAGCTCTTAAAAGTGTTTATTGGAAAGAAATGATCTGGATACTAATACTTAATAGCAGTAGTCACTTAGACTCTCCAGGTTTAATTTTTCATATGCATAAAGTTTAGGACATTTGATAAAAAGACTTGCCATTATAATGATTGAGTTCTGATTCATTAGTGTATAGATTTTTTCTATTTGAAAAGATTAATTTGAATTATATTTTCTAAAATTACTAATTTAAAGAATACTTGTGTGGGCTGAATGCAAAGAAGTTTAGATTGACTGTTCTTTTAGGTATTTTTAAAAAATATGCTCAAATATTTTCTAAAATGCAAATCATATTTCAACTCTCTGTATAGAAATTCATCACTATTTTCTGTTGCCCTTAGGACAAAGTCCAAAATACTTAGCATGACTCATGAGTCCCTTAAACTTATGTCCTTCCCTCCCTTGCTCCACTGGCTTTTTCTTACCCTCCCAAAAGCTCTAATGAATCTATATTTAGCTTCTTGCAGTTTTTTTTTTCAAACTTCTCTGTGTGTTTCTTCTCTCTTCTGTCCTTCCTGCTGTTTTTTTTTTTTCTCCTTTTCTCTGAGAATGACCTTTCTTCCTTCATTTTTCAGTTTAGAGTCATTTTGGGAAGCCATCCCTGATCTTCAGGCTGAGTTAGGTGCCTCCTGCTTATGTCTTTCCCTAGAACTATATTGTCATCTTATCTCAGCATTTACCTTTTGAAATTTGTGTGCTTACTTACTTTACCTGTTTTCTCAATTATTGAAGGCACAGATCATACTTGGTTGGGTTGATGATACATTTATAAGTGACATTCAGTCATATTAAAACTTAATTATAATTGCTATAAACAGATGGGTGTTTCATTAATATTTCTATTGTTTCCTTTTTATCCTAGGACTGGGCCAATGCTAATGTCAGCAGACAGATCGAGGACACTGTGTTATATGGTTACTACAGTAAGTATTTCAGTTTCATTTCCTATCTGCGCTGCTAACCAAGATGTAGAATTAAGCTGTGTATAAACATTTAATTTTGATATCACATTTGTGATGACTGTTTCAACACCAGGAGTAAGAAATACAGCATTCATTCTCATAATCTTGAAACTTTTAACCTACTTTACTTCATTTAGGTTCACTTGTACTATGTCTTTTTGGAGTTTCAGTCAAGTTACTTTAAATCTCAAGTGTCTTCCTTTGTTAACATTACCATTTTCCTACTTGCAGTCTTGATTTTAAAAATCTTAGTTTTCTGGACATTTTTCCTAAGTATTGACACTAGTAAAGGGTACTCAGGGGAGTTTGTAACATCAACTTTATTGTACTATACAGAGCCAGTTTAAGGGATTCTGGTTGATTGGGCCTTCCCTCTCTCTTCCTTCTCGAATGTTCAATTATAAAAGCTTTATAATAAACACCTAAGTGTTTCCCAGATTTTCTCTTTAAATTTGCATAAGACTTGTGTTTTTATAAAAATGTGTACTTGCAGGGGCACCTGGGTGGCTCAGTTGGTTAAGCATCAGACTCTTGATTTCAGCTCAGCTCATGATTTCAGGGTCCTGGGATTCAGTTGTGTCAGGCTGCACACTCAGCAGGGAATCTGCTTGGATTCTCTCTCTCCCTCTCCCTTTGCCCCCACCTTTCCTGCTCACAGATGCGTGTCCATGCATTCTCTCTCTTTCACTCTCTAAAATAAAAATAAGTAAGTCTTTAAAAAAGTGTGTAAGTGCTGGGTGCCTGGATGGCTCAGTCAGTTAAGCGGCTGCCTTTGGCTCAGGTCGTAATCTTTGGGTCTTGGGATCCAGCCCCGCATCACATCGGGTTACCTGCTTTAGCAGGGAGCCTACTTCTCCCTCTCCGTCTTCCTTCCCCCCCCCCCCGCTTGTGCGCACTCCCTCGCTCACTTTCTCTCTCTCAAATAAATAAATCTTAAAATAAATGTGTAAGTGCTGAGTTAAGAAAGGGATGTCATTTTTTTTCAGCAATTAAGATGTTGAGTAAGATTTCAGTAGGACACTAAATTGGAAACTGAAAAACCAGCTTATAGAAGTTTCTCTTGATGGGATAGTTTTTTCAAGGGTTTCATTGAATTTTAATTTAGCTGCTTTGGCTCTACCTTTGCCTTTTCTCCTGATCTGAAATCTACAGACCCATGAAATTCTCTCCCTTTGGTGTGTATTTTAGAAATACTTTGTGGTATTTAATGTAGAATTCATTATTTTAAACTATAAATTTGACCTCTTAAGTTAAAACCTTTGAAATGGTGCTATATTAAGTAGAATGTTGCCTTTCAATACAAATTTTGGGGGGATATAAGTCACTTCAAAAACTGTTTTGGGGGCGCCTGGGTGGCTCAGTTGGTTAAGCAACTGCCTTCGGTTTAGGTCATGATCCTGGAGTCCTGGGATCGAGTCCCGCATCAGGCTCCCCGCTCAGCGGGGAGTCTGCGTCTCCCTCTGACCCTCTTCCCTCTCGTACTCTCTATCTCTCATTCTCTCTCTCTCAAATAAATAAATAAAATCTTTAAAAAAAAAAAAAAACTTTTGGGGGAGGAGAGCCTCTCCTATGTGACACTAAAGTGTATTTGTGCTTTAGAACATGTGACAAGATAAAGCAGCTTTTATCTTGGTGTAGTCCAGGTCCATGAGCCATATCTTATCACTGAACCTAGAGGCTACTGGATTAATCCATTGTAACCAAGGTTACAAAGACTTCTAAACAGGAATGTTAATTCATGCAGCCCTTTCAGTTGTTTCATGGAGAGAATTAAGTCTACCAAAATGATTTTAGTATTTTTGTCAGTTCTCCTAAGGATAGTATGTCCCTAGTATTTTAAATGCATGGGAGATAAGTTAATCATTACAAACAGTAGATGACTTAGGAATTTAGGGCTTGATTTTCTGCAGAATTTGAGTTGTAGTTAGAAATATAACTACTGGGCCCCTGGGTGTCTCAGTTGGTTAAGTGTCTGCCTTTGGTTCAGGTCATAATTCCAGGGTCCTGGGATAGAGTCCCATGTTGGGCTCCCAGCTCAATGGGGAGTTTGCTTCGCCCTCTCCATCTGCCTCTCCCCTGCTCATGCTCGCTCGCTCTCAAATAAATAAAGTCTTAAAAAAAAAGAAATTTAACTACCTTGGGATAGGATAGTTGAGATACTGATTTAAGGAAGGAACTTGCATGAGAAGCCAAATGATAGATTTCTTGATGACTATGGATTCAAAGCAAGATTTATTCAATAATGTTAATGGTTGTTGTCAGAAAGGTAGTCATATCCACTTTAGCTGTGGCTAATCCTTTGACTTTAACTTAGGTGTTGACCTACAGCAAGGAGCCTAAAAGGATTGCATGGCTTCTGAAATAGTTACTATCCTCAAGCCCAGTTGTTTCTCCAGAAATGCTAGATATTATCTAACTGCCTGTTAGCTGTCTCCTCCTGGATCCTGAGGACAGCACAGACTCCATGTAATTCTAAGCACTATTTTTATACATCCCCTCTGAGATTCTATAGTTCATCTAATCTCTCCTAACATAACACATTTTCATTGTCTAACCTTGCCAAGAACTGTACGAGACTTTCACATTCAACATTTTACTTAATTTTCATGAATGTCATTTTTTGGGAAGTGTTTTCTACATTTTACAGATGGAGGAAATTTATATTTAAGAGATATTAAAGATCACCTTGTTAGTGAGTGGCATTTTGAAGTGGATTTTATTTCCTAAGCTGGATCTTTGTGGCATGAAGTGAGCTGCCTTTTAATGGTTCTGGGGATGTTTCCTGTGAGAATGCTTAGCAGCACTGAACCCCCAGGGCAGCTCCCAAAATCATCTGGGACCTTTTAAATAATACGGAATGCTAGATTATATCCGGAGAGATTCTGATTTCTGTTAATGAATTCCCTATCCCTTTAGTGTCACCACTGCTCTATCAGAAATGTGTTTAGGTATTGGGAAGATGTAAGGCTCAAGGTGGTGAATTCAAGTTTTCCAAAAATCCTAATTTTCTTTTGAAAGTTTAGGTTTTATCATTGGCAGCAAATACTATTACCTTTTTTCTTTGAAATGACAGGGTCACTTTATTCATTTTGGAAAGAGTCCATCTAATCCTCAAGCCTAGATAATTACTGCTTGTCTCTCAGTTCTTTCAAGTAAAAAATGGTGTTCTTTGAAAGAAAGTGACTAAGTATAGCTCGTAAGTAAAATAGCACAGTGCTTCTCACAAGTAAAATTTATGAGTACTTCCTTTCTCACAGAATATTAAAAAGATGTGTACTCAAAAGTAGACATCTAATGGAATTACTACTGCTTCAAAAGGGACTTTTCTGAATGAAAGTGCTCCCCATTGGTGAGTGGTTGGTGGTGAAAAACTTAATAACTGCTAGTGGAAAGGCTAACAACATTTTGGTATTAATGTGAATATAATTTTCATGTTTTGGGTACCCTGAAATGATCCCTGTGAATCCTTGGGTCTGGAAACTACACTTTTGAAATCCTTGTTACATTAATGGAACTTTGGGTAGTTTTTTTTTTTTTGGACAATTTGTAGAAGTCAGGAGAACTACTGCTTCTACCTACTGGTTCTCCACTAGCTCTTAATTGGTTATTAACAGTCCTGTTACCTGAAACCGACTGCATAGGAAATACAAGTTCCTGGAGCTTGTCAAAGGATGAGAGAGTGAGGTTGTTTAATTCTGCCCTTTTGTTCTATAGTCATAGGGACCCTCTCCCTAGGAGATCCCCTCATTTGAGGATGTTGTATGCATCCCAGAAACATTTCAGTCCTTTTGTCCTTTTTGAATGTCTTTGTTTCTTCATTTATATCTTTAAACTTCTTTGATATTTTCCTTTAAAAAGCTACTCTTGTCTGACTTTTCTTCTCCGTTCTGTTTTAATCCTATGTTGGAACCTATTTAAGATTTTATTATATATTGTGTTTAACCTTTTATCTGAGTTCTATTTTTATGTTTCAAATTTATTTTTATGTTTAAATTTTTACATTCTGTTTATTGTACTTTATTATAAATGTTTATTCTAATGTTTTCTCTAATCATTCTTGAAATTTTTAGTTTTAACTCTTTCACTGTCCACTTGAAGTGAATTTTCATTTTACTTGTTTTTCTAACTTTTTGTGTTGATTTTGCATGTGTACAGGGGTTGTAGAAATGGAGAGAGCTCAAACCATAAGCAGGAATTATTCAAGACTTATCATTTTTTGTGTAGATATAAATTGAATTCATATAGTATACATTGTTTTCTGTTTGGCTGTAGTGCTCAGCATTGTATTTGAGATTCATCTGTATTGTTGCAGGTAACGGTACTTCATTGATCGTCATTGCTTTGAATATTCCATTGTATTAACATACCATGGCTTGTTTATCCATTCTAAAATTGATGATCATGGAATACTACATCAAAACTAATGATGTACCATGAGAGACTATGGACTCTGAAAAACAAACTGAGGGTTCTAGAGGGGAAGGGGGTGGGGGGATGAGTTAGCCTGGTGATGGGTATTAAAGAGGGAACATATTGAATGGAGCACTGGGTGTTGTACACAAACAATGAATCATGGAACACTACATCAAAAACTAATGATATAATGTATGGTGATTAACATAACATAATAAAAAAAATATTAAGCAGAAATTTCATAAATTTAAAAAAAACTAATGATGTCCTATATGGTGACTAACATAACATAATAAAATTAAATTAAATTAAAAAAATAAAATTGATGATCAGTTAGGTTCAGTTTTTGGCTCTTTCAAATACTGCTGCTTTGAGGATCTAGTATATATTTTAAAAAAAGCCTTTACTGCATTGTTTTCCATTGTATGGGTGCTCTTATTCAAAGAATTCCAGATTATTAGGTGTTTAATAAGTTCTTACTTTTTGCTCTCCAGCATTTCTGTAGTGAAAATAGATTTATGCATATTTGGGTAAGGTAAGTTATGGAA